CAACGAACGCCTAGAGGCAAACAAAGTCATTACTAAAAGCCAACATGGGTTTATCAAAAATAGATCATGCCAGACAAATCTTATTGCATTCTTTGACCAACTGACAAAATTAGTGGATCAGAGGAATGCTGTAGACATAATTAACTTGGACTTCAGTAAGGCATTTGATAAAGTAGATCACAACCTACTACTTGATAAGATAGAAAAATGTGGGGTAGACAGAATCACCACCAGATGGATCCGTAGCTGGCTGACCAGCCATACTCAGCGTGTGGTTCTCAATGGAACTGCATCTATTTGGAGGGAAGTGTATAGTGGGGTGCCCCAGGGCTCTGTTCTGGGCCCAGTGCTCTTCAACATCTTCATCAACGATTTGGACGAAGGGATAGATGGGGAACTCATCAAATTTGTAGACAACACCAAGCTGGCAGGACTAGCCAACACTCCAGAAGACAGGCTTAGGATACAGGAGGATCTGGACAGACTTAAACACTGGGCACTATCTAACAAAATGAAAATTCAACTGTGAAAAAAACAAGGTCTAACATTTAGCAAGAAAAACCAAGCAGCAAGTACAACTAGGTGGCACATGCTCAATAGTAGTAACTGTGAGAGGGATCTCGAAGTCCTAGTGGACAATCATTTAAATATGAGCCAGCAGTGTGCTGCAGCTGCCAAAAAAAACCAACACAGTGCTAGTCTGCATTAACAGAGGGATAGAATCAAGATCACGTAAAGTATTAATACCACTTTACAATGCCTTGGTAAGGCCACACTTGGAATACTGCATCCAGTTTTGGTCACCATGATGTAAAAAAAGATGTTGAGACTCTAAAAGAGTACAGAGAAGAGCAACAAAAATGATTAGGGGACTGGAGGCTAAAACATATAAGGAACGGTTGCTGGAATTGGGTATGTCTAGTTTAACGAAGTAAAGGACAGGGGGGACATAGATGCAGTATTCCAATATCTCAGTGGCTGCATACAGAAGGGAATCACGCTATTTTCCAAAGCACCTGAAGGGCAGGACAAGAGCAATGGTTGGCAACTAATCAAGGAGAAAGGCAACCTAGACTACGGAGAAAACTTCCTGACAGTGGTCACAATTATCAGGTCGAACAAGACTGCCTCCAAAGCAGTAAATGCTCCAACACTGGAAGTTGTTAGAAGAGACTGGAAAGCCATTTGTCCAAAATGGTGTTGGGTTTCCTGCCTGAGCAGGGGGTTAGTCTAGATGACCTCCAAGGTCCCTTCCAACTTTACTATTATTATTATTATTATTATTATTATTATTATTATTATTATTATTATTATTATTATTATTGATCATTGCACAGTCAGCCAGATGTTCAGACTGGATTTGGGATTTTGTCTACCTATCGAGTCCTTACCCAGGACCTGGGATAGGCAGATGTGGATGTTTGATGGTATTACAGATATAGTCGCAGGATGGAAGCAGTTCCTAATAAGGCCGCCTTATTATTATTTTATTATTATTATTATTATTATTATTATTATTCTATCTTTGCCATGAAAACCCCATGGACAGTACTAAAAGGAAAAAAGATATGACGCTGGAAGATGAGCCCCTCAGGTCGGAAGGTGTCCAATATGCTACTGGGGAATAGCAGAGGGCTAGTACTAGTAGCGCCAGAAAGAATGAAGCGACTGGTCCAAAGCCGAAAGGACGCTCAGCTGTGGATATATCTGGTGGTGAAAGGAAAGTCCGATGCTGTAAAGATTTTTTCTCCATAGGAACCTGGAATGTAAGATCCATGAATCAAGGCAAGCTAGACGTAGTCAAAAAAGAGATGACAAGACTGAACATCGACATCTTAGGAATCAGCGAACTAAAATGAACAGGAATGGGTGAATTTAACTCAGATGACCATCAGGTATACTAATGTGGGCAAGAATCCCTCAGAAGAAATGGAGTAGCCTTCATAGTCAATAAAAGAATAGGAAAAGCAATACTGGGATACAATCCCCAAAATGACAGAATGATCTCAATTCGAATCCAAGGCAAACCATTCAATATCACAATAGTCCAAATCTATGCCCCAACCACTGGTGCTGAAGAGGATGAACTTGACCGGTTCTATGAAGCCCTACAGCACCTTATAGAATTAACACCAAAAAATGATGTCCTTATCATCATGGGGGATTGGAGTGCTAAGGTAGGAAGCCAAAAGATAACCAGAATAACAGGCAAGTTTGGCCTTGGGGTACAAAATGAAGCAGGGCCCAGGCTGATAGAATTTTGTCAAGAGAATACAATGGTCATAACAAACACTCTTTTCCAACAACCCAAGAGACGGCTCTACACATGGACATCACCAGACGGTCAACATAGAAATCAGATTGACTATGTGCTCTGCAGCCAAAGATGGAGAAGCTCTATACAGTCAGTAAAAACAAGACCAGGAGCTGACTGTGGCTCAGATCATGAACTTCTTGTTGCAAAATTTAGGGTTAAATTGAAAAAAGTAGGGAAAAGCACTAGGCCACTCAGGTATGAACTAAATCATATTCCTAATGAATATACAGTAGAGGTGACACATAGATTTAAGGAATTAGATCTGATAGACAGAGTGCCTGAAGAACTATGGATGGAAGTTCGCAACATTGTACAAGAGGTAGCAACTAAAACCATCCCAAAGAAAAAGAAATGCAAGAAAGCAAAATGGCTGTCTGAGGAAGCTTTGCAAATAGCTGAGGAAAGAAGGGAAGCAAAAGGCAAAGGAGAAAGAGAAAGATACACCCAATTGAATGCAGACTTCCAGAGAGTAGCTAGAAGAGATAAGAATGCCTTCTTAAATGAACAGTGCAAAGAAATAGAAGAAAACAACAGAATAGGGAGGACCAGAGATCTCTTCAAGAAAATTGGAGATATGAAGGGAATGTTTCATGCAAAGATGGGCATGATAAAGGACCAAAATGGCAGGGACTTAACAGAGGCAGAAGAGATTAAGAAGAGATGGCAAAACTACACAGAAGAACTATACCAGAATGAGCTTAACGTCCCAGATAACCACAATGAGATGGTCACTGACCTCGAACCAGACATCCTAGAATGTGAAGTGAAATGGGCCTTAGAAAATCTGAGCAACAACAAAGCTAGTGGAGGTGACAGTATTCCAGCTGAGCTATTCAAAATCTTAAAAGACGATGCAGTAAAAGTGCTACACTCATTTGCCAGCAAATTTGGAAAACTCAACAGTGGCCACAGGATTGGAAAAGGTCAGTTTACATTCCAATTCCAAAGAAAGGCAATGCCAAAGAATGTTCAAACTATCGCACCATTGCACTCATTTCACATGCTAGTAAAGTTATACTTAAAATCCTACAAGCTAGACTCCAGCAATATGTGGATCGAGAACTACCAGAAGTACAGGCAGGATTTCGAAGAGGCAGAGGAACTAGAGATCAAATTGCCAACATACGCTGGATCATGGAGAAAGCTAGGGAGTTCCAGAAAAACATCTACTTCTGCTTCATTGACTATGCAAAAGCCTTTGATTGTGTGGATCACAACAAATTGTGGCAAGTTCTTAAGGAGATGGGAGTACCAGACCATCTCATTTGTCTCTTGAGAAACCTATATGCGGTCAAGAAGCAACAGTGAGAACTGGACACGGAACCACTGATTGGTTCAAAATTGGAAAACGAGTCCGGCAAGGCTGTATACTGTCGCCCTGCCTATTTAACTTATATGCAGAGCACATCATGAGAAAGGCAGGGCTAGAATGAATCAAAGTTGGAAAGGAATTAAGATTGACGGGAGACATATCAAACCACCTAAGATATGCAGAGATTACACTCTATGGCAGAAAGTGAAGAGGAACTAAAGAGCCTCTTGATGTGGATGAAGAAGGAGAGTGCAAAAGTGGGCTTGAAACTCAACATTAAGAAAACCAAAATCATGGCATCTGGCCCTCTCAATTCCTGGCAAATAGATGGGGAAGAAATGGAGGTAGTGACAGATTTTATTTTTCTGGGCTCCAAGATCACCTCAGATGGGGGACTGCAGCCAAGAAATTAAAAGACGCTTGCTCTTGGGGAGGAAAGCTATGGCAAATCTAGACAGCATACTAAAAAGCAGAGACATCACCCTGCCAACAAAAGTGCGTATAGTCCAGGCCATGGCTTTCCCAGTTGCATGTATGGCTGTGAAATTTGGACCATAAGAAAGGCTGAGCGCCAAAGAATTGAGGCCTTTGAACTCTGGTGCTGAAGAAGACTACCTGCGAGTCCCTTGGACTGCCAAGGCGTTCAAAACGGTCAGTCCTAGAAGCCGGATCAAAACCTCGACTGCTCTGTAGAAGGCAAGACCTGAAGTTGAAACTCAAATACTTGTGAAGAAGGACTCCCTGGAGAAGGGCCTAATGCTGGAAAAGATTGAGGGCAAGAGAAGAAGGGGACGACAGAGAATGAGGTGGCTGGATGGAGTCCCTGAAGCAGTAGGTGTGAACTTAAATGGACTCCAGAAGATGGTAGAGGACAGGAAGACCTGGAGGAACGTTGTCCATGGGGTCGCGATGGGTCGGACACGACTTCGCAATTAACAACAACAAAAGAAGCCCCACCTGGATCCAGCGTTCCCTGCAGAGTTAGGCCGAGTGCTGGACCAGCTGAACTTCTGTCTGCCTTTCTCCACCCTCGGGAGAAGGAGGCGGTCCCTCAGAAACCTCTTTCCCCCCCTTCCTCATTTTCCTCCCCTCCCCCGACCCCCACTAACAGGGAATCCCGCTGGGACCGACAGTTCCCCATCCCTCCTCCAGGTGGCGCCTTCTGGCAGTCTCTTGCGGCAGGTCTCCCCTCCTCTGACAAGCCTGTGTCCCTCCTCGAGGAGAGGCTGGGAACCATGGGCCCTGGAGTCCCTCCTGACCCTCTTCTTCCTCTCTGCAGCCCATTTCCTGTACCAGGCGAAGGCCGAGTGCTGCTTCCTCAATGGGACGCGGTGGGTGAGGCTCCTGAACAGGTACATCTATGACTGACAGGAGTATCTCCGCTTCGACAGCGCCCGCGGGGAGTTCGAGGCCGTCACGGCGCTGGGGGAGGTGGATGCGGAGGCTTTCAACAGGGATAAGCGCCTCCTCCAGTACTGGAAGGCCAGAGTGAATCGCTTCTGCCGAAGCAACTACGAGGCTCTCCAGGGCGGCCCCTTGATTGGCCGGAGAGGTGAGTGGGGGAGGGGGATGCCAGGACACCCCCCTTTTCATTTCATGTCTTAGGACTCTCCCGGAGAAAGATTTGCCCCTGATGTATTCTATGCCCTCCGATCTATGAAATTTATTCATTGGTATTTATTGCTATTTATTGAGACTCCTAATCCCTTCACCCACCTCAAAGTGGACCTCTGGATAGGGTAGGATATAACATCACCCCTAAATAAAAAATAAATAAATAAAAAGGTATAAAAAATAAGTTTAAAAATAAATTTCTGTTAAAAAGTTTGAAATTCTACAAGGATGACCATGAAACATGCCAAAGGGAAGAAACAGATTCCTCTCGTTCCTATCGGTCCCATCATCTTCCTTCTCTTCCCAAGATCTAAAGATTCCCCTGCCCGAAAAACTTCTTTCCAGAATTTTTCTCGGGGGGGGGGGAGAAGGAATCCAGCAAGGTCTCTCCTTTGCCCAGGATATAGATATATTTCAATATAATCTATATCCCATATAACATTTCAATATAATATTTTATATTAATAAATCAATAATATTTCTTTATTGATTTACTTATCAACTTTTAAAACCATCTCTTTCTCTCTCAGAGGAACTTTGCGTGTATACACATAAAATATAAAACCACCAAAATAGTCTATACAATTTAAGATTTAAAAGGCAGGAATGATAATGAATTTTTATCATGGATTTTAATTTTACAGGGGGGAGGGCTCAGGAGGCTGACCGGCCCCACGGCTGGCCTCTCCTCTGTGCCCCCCAAGCAAAGCCCTGAGCCTAGACCTAGACCCTCCCTGCCCCCCCATCCCAGGCAGGGGGGTAAGATCCATCATTTCCGCCCTCCACCCCTGTCTGGGAATGGGGCAACTCACTGCAGGACAGTTCAACAATTTTATTCAATTATTTAAAATAATTTCTAAAATATTTTTTAAATTTTTGTCCTTCACATTTCATTTTTCTCCTCCCTCGGCCTCCTTCCTTTCCTGATTCTCTTTCTCCATTTCTTCCATATTGTGTAACTTTTGTGCCACGTTGAGTTGGCTGAGTTGTCCTAGACCCCTCCCTGCCCCCCCATCCCAGGTAGGAGGGTGGGACCCCTCCCCACCTCCTTCCCCAGGGGAAATGGCAGGGAGAGGATGGTCTGTGGGGGTCTCCCTTTGAATCTCCCCAAAGGCCCCCCAGGAAGGATTCTCCTCAGCACAAGGGAGACCCTGAGATCCCCCAAAAGCTCCTCCGTCCCTCCTGCTCCGCAAGGGGGACTCGGGGTCTGTCAGTCTTCGGGGGAGGGGGGGAAGAAGCTCTTCCTCAAGAGGATTCCAGCAATTATGGGGAGAAAATGGCTGCTCCCCATTAGGGCTCCTTTCCTGTAGACGGAGCATCCTTGGACCTCAGCCAGGCATCCGACAGAGGAGACCCCAACCTTCTTCCTGTGGACTAGACAACATCACCCCCAGATGGATCTGCAGCTGGCTGACAAGCCTTACTCAGAGAGTAGCCCTCAAAGGCGCCACATCCGCATGGAGGGAAGGGAGCAGTGGGGAATCACAAGGCTCCGTCTGAGGCCTAATAAACTCTTCAACATCTTCATCACTGACTCAAAGGAGGGAATTGAAGGGGAACTCATCAAATTCACAGAGGACACCAAACTGGCAGAAGCAGCCAACACCCCAGAAGACAAACTCAGGACCAAAAAGATCTGGACAGACTTGAACAAGGGATCCTATCCAACGAAATGAGTTTCAGTGTGGACAAAAGCAAAGTCTTACACCTAGGCAGGAAAAAACAAAGGTTCAAGCACATATTAGGTGAAATTTGGGTCAAAATCAGGGGGTCCTAATGGGAAGCCTCACACTGGAGGTAGTTGTTGAATTCAGAGGCAATCCCCCCTCCCCCCTCACACCTCCTGTTCCTCCCCATCTTTTAACTATAATTTTATCTTGACTGGGAATTCCATTTTGATTGCTATACAAATATTTATCTGTTAGGATTTTAATGTTTTAATGCTGTAAGCCAGGGCTTTTCAACCTTTTCACTGACTGTACCACTTTTAGGATATGGCAATATTTGAGTACCACCTAGCAAGGTGTCAAACACTTGATGACCAAAAAAAGAAAACCCTGTTCAAAGTTGCAATTGCACTGAAATGACATGACCATTTTTCACACTTATGGCCATTGCAGCAGATCCAGGGTCATGTGATTTATATTTGGATGCTTGGCAATGGATTCATATTTATGATGGTCACAGTGTCCCAGGGTCATGTGATCCCCTTCTGCAACCTCTTGACAAGCAAAGCCATTGGCAGGGCTGCTGGTGGCCAAGTTGTAAGGCGGAACTTCCTTCCCTCCCTCCCTCCTTCCCTGCCTCCCTCTTTCTCATTCCCATCTCCTTCTGAAGGAAGAATTTGACCCCCCCCCCCGTTTCCCTTCTTTCATATATTCATTGAACAAGGAAAAGCCTCCAGAGACAGAAAAGCCATTGAGGGAACTAGCTTAAAAAGGCACATTCCCCTTTAAGAATTAGCTACTGGCTAGAAAGGAAAGTTAAGGAGCCCAGTGGGCACTTAAGGAAGAAAAAAAAATGTAATAAGTATGGCTGCTGGCTAAGACAGCCTCCCCAATTGGCTCCATTTGTAAGTAAAGGAATGCTACAGGCAAAATCCATTCAGGAGAAAAATACTTCAAAATCCCTTGCAGCAAAACTTACAGCTAACAATAGCAGAGCAATAGAAGCTAACAGGAGACATCAGCCAAATAGAAATTGCCAAACACTCCTTAAGAACACAAAGCCCACATTGCACAAATCTCAGAACTTCAAAGTCACAAAAGCACATAAGAATCCTTCCACTCTCCATCTCCCTACAGCCGGTGCTACCTTTCTTCATTGCTGTCTTTCTTCATTCCTCGTGGAGGGCAACCCTTCCCCCTTATGTTCCTTGCCTCTTGGTTGCTGCCAGCACAGGTGGCTGCCACAGAGGTTGTAGATCCACTTGTGACAGGCCTGCTTGATCTCCTCTCCTCTCCTCCACCCTCCTCCTTCTTTCCATTCTGTGCAGCTAGAGCTGACTCCTCCTCCTCCCAAGGCTGCTTCTTTTTCTCTCTCTCCTTCTTCCGACCCAAACTGCCGGCTAAGGCAGCCTCCCCAAATGGCTCCATTCGTAAGTAAAGGAATGCTACATGCAAAATCCATTCAGGAGAAAAATACTTCAAAATCCCTTGCAGCAAAACTTACACCTAAAAATAGCAGAGCTGTAGAAGCTAACATGAGACATCAGCCATCAGCCAAATAGAAATTGCCAAACACTCCTTAAGAACACAAAGCCCCCATTGCACAAATCCCAGAACTTCAAAGTCACCAAAGCATATAAGAATCCTTCCACTCTTGAAAGATCAATCACAAGAGAAGTATCTTTTGGTGTGGAAAAGATGGATAAATTTTATACAATATAAGTATGATATAAGAAAATATTATCTAGCTTTTGAATAATTTATATAAGTCTAAGATATTATTTAGAAGTGTAATTGTTATTATTCTTTAATTTTTTTATTTTCTCTTTTTTTCCTCTTTTTATTTTTTATATATAATGGAGTTAAAGTACTTTACAATTTGTTTATTGAGTGTAATTATATTTGCTTAAGGTTTATTTGAGTTTAAAACTTTTTTTCTTTTAAGATCTAGTTAAGCCTGTATTTAGCTCTGGGAAGAACGGGGAAGGGTTTTGGGGTGGGTTGGGAGGGATTGGGGAAGGGGTTTTTATTGTAAAATTTTAAAAATCTTCAATAATAAAAAAAGAATCCTTCCACTCTCCATCTCCCTCCTTGCCTCACCTCCAGCCAGTGCTGCCTTTCTTCATTGCTGCCTTTTTTCATTGCTGCCTTTCTTCATTGCTGCCTTTCTTCATTCCTCATGGAGAGCAACCCCTCCTCCCTACGTTCCTTGCCTCTTGGTTGCTGCCAGCACAGGTGGCTGCCCCTGAAGTTGTAGATCCACTTGTGGCAGGCCTGCTTGATCTCCTCTCCTCTCCCCCACCCTCCTCCTTCTTTCCATTCTGTGCAGCTAGAGCTGACTCCTCCTCCTCCCAAGGCTGCTTCTTTTTCTCTCTCTCCTTCTCCCGACCCAAACTGCCTCCTTTTATAGCCTCTCCTGTCTCTGCCCCCTCCTCTTCCTTTCTCATGGGGGAGGGGGATGAGCCGGAAGTGAGCCTGGGGCCTTTGCCTCGCCCCAGCCACTCTGCAGGTCCAGAGGACTCTCTCACAGTAAGTCCTTGCCTGCACTGGCTCATTCCCTTTCCCACTACACTTGGCTGGGCAGGGCAGCATACCATCTGTCATGTGCTCATGTACCACAGGTGGTACATGTACCACCAGTTGAAAAGCCCTGCTGTAAGCTGCCTAGAGTCATTTTATCATGAGATGGTGGCAAAAGTTTTTAATAAATAAATAAATGTTCCGGTATTCTACCTATTTTTAAAAAATGTGGTTTTCTTTTGAATGGGATCCCTGCAATTCTCCAAAGCATGCTGTGTGTCTTCCCCGTCTTCTGGGTCTCTTTCTGTCTCCCCCAAATCTGGCAGGAAATTCCTTCCATTCCGGGGTGTTTCCAGTATTTATTTCTGTTGCACTTGTGCAATTTGATGATGGAAACTGATCCCAACCAGGAACGATTTATGTTTTTCCATCATTCAGGATCCTGTTTAATTTCTTGCTGCAATTTGCTTTGGAAATGACTTAAAACAAATACTATTTTCAGGACTGAAAAGGGCTCTTGGCCTGAACTAACCAACTTGGTCTCCTGTTCTGGCCCCTCTTGTGTCTCCCCCCCCATGTCCCTTCTCCCCCTCCCCCTCCTCCCCTCCAGCCAAGCCCACCGTCTCCATCTCCCCCACCAAGCTGGACCCCGCTTCCCCCCACACCATGCTCCTCTGCATCGTGAGGGGCTTCTACCCTGTGGAGATTGAGGTCCGGTGGCTGAAGAACGGGCGGCCGGAGGAGGAGGGCGTGGCCTTCGGGGAGGAGCTCCAGAATGGAGACTGGACCTACCAGCTCCATGTGATGCTGGAGACCCAGCCCCAGCGTGGAGACATCTACACCTGCCAGGTGGAGCATGCCAGCCTGGAGGCCCCCATCACCGTCCAGTGGGGTGAGCCACTCCCCTCCCTCCCCTCCTGCTCTGGGGACCCCCTCCTGCCCTGAGAAGGGGGGAGAGACCCTCCCTGTGGGGGGAACTGGGATGGACCCTCCTGGGGGGGAAGCTGGCCCTGATCTTCCTACTCAGTGAGGCTCCTTCTCCATCCCCAGAGCCCCGATCCTCCAACTCTGCCAAGAGCAAACTCTGGACGGGGATCGTGGCAGCCGTGATCGGGGTGATCTTCTTTGCCATGGGGCTCTCCCTCCACCTGAAGAGCAAGAAAGGTGAGTCTGGGGGGCTGGATGAGAGATTGTGGGGAGGGGACCATCCAGGGGAGGCCTCTCAGCAAGCTTAGCAGTTGGCAAGGAGGCCCCCTTGGAGATTTGCTTGGGAAATTCTGTTCTTTGAGGGTCTACTGTATAAGTCAACATCTTGCAACCTATTATGGGTTATCGATGGGGAAGGGGACCCCATGTGTCCTCCAGCCCATGAAGGGTCCTGATTGGCTCTTTTTCTCCTTCCAGCAACTCCCATCCAGCCTCCTCCAGGTGAGTTTCTCTTCAAGTTATAGATGTTTCTTTAATATTCCTTAATTGACCCTTTTTTAAAAAAAAATGTTCCTGAACAAAACCTCCTAGCTGTGGATAACACAAATTTTTGAAGTTTTGGGCAGCTTTTCCTTTCAGAGACCTAAAAATACATTGCAATCAAAAACAAACACACACACACATAAACACTAAAATCTGGCCCAGGAGATTTCCAGGTTTTGGGAAATTGCAAAAGAGAAGGGAAGTCTCCTTGTGACATTTCACACAATTTCTGGCAAAGCGACACCCGGCTTTGCTACCACTCCCCATCCTGGCCCCATCTTCTTTGTTCATATGAACCATCTGGGGGGGGGGCTTATCTCTTGATTAACTCCCCAATTAAGTCAACTGGGAAAAATTCCACAAGCCTCTGGAGATGAATTGCTGGTCCTTCCCAGACTTTTCCTCCCTGACATGGGAGATTCTCCCTCATTCTGCCCCTGCCTATCAACGAAACCCCTGCAATGTGGGCCTCTCTGTGGGGGGTGGCTGAAAGAGAGGAATAATAAGTTATTTACACTGAAGGTTTCATTTTGTATTCTCATTTTCTCCCCATCTCTTTTTTTCTTCAGCACTCCTTCCTGATTCCTGGTGGGAAAGGAAGTTTTTTTTTTTCAGTAGCTGAAGAATTTCTGTCTTTTTTGCAACCTCTGAAAAATGGAGGCTCAAGATTTTAGATTAGGGAGAGGAGTAGAATGGCAGCCTGGAGCTTTTCCTGCTGAGAGGACCCTCATCTTCCTTTCAGGGCCTCCTTTTCTATGGAGGGAGGGGTGGAGACCATCTAGACTGACCCCAGGGACTCTGGGCCTGCCTGCCAGTCCAGAACCCCAAATCTCTCCCCTCTTTGAACCCACAGCAGCTTCATCCCCATTACTCTTCCTACGAATCCCTTCTCTTCACTTTGCTATAAAAGAATAAAATTTATATGGTAGGAAAAATCCTGGAATTCCTCCCTCTTTCCTTCCTCTTCCTCCTCCTCTTTCCTGCCCCCCCCAGAGAGTCCTCCCTCCTCCCCTCCCCCTCCCCAAATTGAGGCCTACCCTGTCTCTGGATTGACTATCCAGGCTAGTTTAGATCCGAAGCCAGAAGCAGTTCGGGAGGAGGGTGGGCAGATCCCAGGGAGGGGAAGGGGCAGGACCCCCTCCTCAATCTCTCCAAACCCAGCCAGAGGGAGGGGACCCCCGGGAGACCCCCAATTCCTGCTTCCCCTGGAGAGCCTCTTCCGTGGCTGGGAAGCTGCTGGAGCTGGAGGGTCTCCTGGCTTCATCCGGGGCCTCTTTCTCCAGGATCGGAGCCCGTTTGAGCCCCTCACAAGCCACGGAGGCTCCTGCCCCATTCGCACCCAGCACCCCTCCCTCCCTCCCTCTTTGGAGCCCTGATCCCCTGGCTGCTCCCCTCCAGACAAACTCCTCCCCTCGTCCATCCCCTCCCCTCAACAAAAGGTGCCAGGGCCGGGGAGGGAGGGCGGAGAGCAGGGCGGCCTCCCTGGGGATGGGGGGGGGGGTGAGACATCCCTCCCTGGATCGCCTTCGCTGTGTCTGCCGGTGGGTGAAGTCTCAAAGGACTCTGCCTGGAGACCGATGATGCTGCAGGAGGGAGACTTCCCATTGGTTCCTCTCCTATCAGGCCATTTCCAGTTCTGAATTCCGAGGAAAACGCCTCCTCCGCCCACTCTCGGAGGAACCCCCCCCGATTCCACCTCTGGGGCTGGGGGCGACCCTGGGCTCTCCCTGCTGCTGGGGGGGGGCGCCGGGCCAGTTCTCTGGAAGCGAAGCGGGGAAGGAAAATCACGGTGAGGAGGGGCTGGACTCCTCAATCAGCCGCTTTAGAGACCCCCAAGTCCCCCCCTGGCTGTGTGCCTCTCTCCCTGCAGCCACCTAGGCGGGATCGGGGGGGGGGGAGAGCAAAATGAAATCCAAACTCCCCTGCAGGGCTGCTCTGAAACACCCCCTTGAGCTGCAGCCCCCCAAGACTGAAAGCATCCCCCAATTAAGACCCGCCCCCCCCGTCCTCCTCCCTCAGTTCCCCCCTCCCCTCCAGGTCCCGACTGAGCAATGGGGGATTATGGAGGGTGGGGGGTTCTTGGTCTCCTCCCCAAATCTAGAGTCTCCCCCAGAAGGGACCGAAGCCCACTCTTGCGGGACCTTCAAAGCCTCAAATTGGAGATTCAGAAGAAAAAGTGAAGTTTCCGAAGAAACAAAAATACATTTGCTAAAATGCATCTTTTTCTTTGTGTGGGTTCAGGTCGGAAAGTTTCCCTCTTTTACTTTCGCTTTCCGCCTCCTTCCTCTTTCGATGCAGCTGACTCTGACCCAGATATTGGGGGGGGGGGAGACCGAGAGACGAGCCCGGCTGCGACTCCCTACCTCGGCTAAAATTGGGAAAGAGCGGCTCCCTTACGTCCCCCTGGGGGGGATGTGGGGAGAAAGGGGGAGGAGACCATGCAGAGATAGAGGCTTTTGCAGATTTCCACCACTCTTACCCTCGACCAGTTTCCCAAAGTATGTCTGGAGATCCAGCAGATTTCTTCCTCCCCCCTCCCCCAAGAGTATCAGGGGTGCCTCCCAACCATATCCTCCCCCCAGCCCAGCCCCCTCCTTACCGGGGGTCTCCTTCCCCCCTTGGCTTCCAGGGATCTGGGCCAGTGCTCCCACCAGCAGCAGTATCAGGGGGAGCCCAACAGAGGCCCTGGATGCTGCCCCACAAGAGCCCCCAAAGAGAGGGGAGAAAGACGCGGAGTCTCCCAGCCCCAGAGGCAGAATCGGTGGGTCTGGATGGGGAGAGGGGGCGTTTTTCTGGGAGGGCTCAGCAGGAAGTGTGCACTTCTTTTGGGGTCCTGCCCCTGCATGATTCTCAACCACTCTTCCTTTCTTGAGTCTGGCAAGTCTAAAGAAAAGAAGAAATAGGGGTGACATGATAGCAGCATTCCAGTATTTGGGGGGCTGCCACAAGGAAGGGGGGTGAAGTCAAATTATTCTCCAAAGTACCAAATGGCAGGCCAGAAACAATGGATAGAAACTGACCAAAGAGGGAAGCAACCTGGAACTAAGGAGAAACTTCCAGACACTGAGGACAAATAAATAGGGGAACAGCTTACCTCCAAGAGTTGTGGGTACTCCATCACTGGAGGTTTTTCAGAGGAGACTGGACAGTTGCTTGTCTGAAAAAGTATAGGTCAGTGGTGGTGAACCTATGTGTGGATGCTGCTTCCGGAAGTCCATTCTGGGCTGGGCAACAAAAAATTAGCTACCGGTTCTGCCAAAGTGGTGTGAACTGGCTGAATCCCACCACTGCATTAAGCTCATCAATTATTGCTTTGGTATAGTTTCCTAATACTTTAACTATGGCTAGTTACCTTTCAACAGGAAAGGGAGAGGGGAGTCGAAAATCGGGGTAAAGTTTCTGTTTGCGAACGGCCACGAAATTGCAAAACGAATGTCTATTTTGAATAACAAAAAGGGGTACAAATATCTCCAGAAATACAGAGCCGTTCAGTCCCAACAAACCAACCGCTGCTCCTCCACAGCTTGCCTCTTTGCTTTCCTTCTATTTCGGTCACTTTGGGCTCCCATAGCAGAGGTGGCACTCAGAGCCCTCTCTGTGGGCACACATGCCATTGCCCCAGCCTCACCTCCCCCGTGACCCCTTCCTCTCCAGAAGCCACCCTGAAGGAGAGTCGCCCCTGAGTATGACCCACACGGAGCAGCACAGCCAATGATATGGCAGCCAAGCAGCATAGACAAAACTCTTCCCTCACACCCCATCGTGCACAGTTGATGCTGCAGAGTGCAGGCAAAGGGCATGACCGCCATAGCGCTGCTGGGCTGCCTGGGCAATCTGCAGCGGACCCTGGAGGTGGTGAGTGGCCCTGCGGGCAGGCAGGGTGGGGGACGGGTTGAGGGCAGGGCTGAGGTGGAGCTGAGGCAGTGCCAGTTTTTGGGCACTCGGTCTCTAAAAGGTTCACCATCACTGGAATAGGTTCTCCTGTTCAAGCAGGGGGCTGGACTAGAAGACCTACAAGGTCCTTCTATTCTATTCTATTCTATTCCAACCTTACAGTATTTTCTTTCAACACCTTTAGTAAAGTTGATTTTCATTTCAATCCGGGAGTTGATCCATGGCCTTCTTGTACTTGCCTCAGCTTGGTTGAGCTACTGACTCTCCAAGCCAGACCAGGATAAATTTTATCTTCAATCCTCTTCAATCCAACTGTCTTAAATACCCATATGCCAAACCTGTCAGGAAGTTACAGGCTATAAATAAATGTCTGCTACTGGAAATTCCTCACCAGAAGTCAGAAAGTCTGTCCACACCTCAGCCCAGAGAAGCTGGAACTGGAGGCTGTGAGAGAGAGGAAGCCATGAAGAAGGAAGCCATGTCATCTTCACTTACTCTCTTCTTTCCAGTAGGACCCATAATGTGGGGGAATGGAAATACCAATTCATAAAGAACTATGAAAGAGATGAGATTCAGACCTCACTAATTATCTTTGAAGATATCCGCCAAGCTTACAGCATTATAAAGCCCAGGAAATGAATCATATAGGTCTTGTCTTGAGGAGTGGCTTAAGCCAAATATTGGTTGACATGTGTGCTGAGGAAAAGGAGGAAAACCAATAGTTTAAAAAACATATTTATTCATTCATTCATTTGTTTGTTTATTATTTATTTATTAATGTATTTGATGATTATCTTGAATTTTAATTTAACTAACAAACTTCACATATTTATTTCCTTCAGTTTTAATAAGCATAAGTTGCAAAGCAAATCCAAACAAAGAATATATAACCAATAATAATGGATAATTAGAAGTTACCAGCCTAAGATACAATTTCACAATCATTCCCCTGCTTTGGCCATTAGATGTTCCTTGGTGTTTAGATCTGGTCTCAGGATGATAATGTAGCACTTGGGGAAGAAGATGCAACTCAATAGTCCAGCACCGGAGGCCAAGATGGAGAAGACCTGCACGGCCACCATGTATTTTCCTTTGGTGCTCAGGTAGGTGGGCAGGAAGGAGACCCAGACACTGCAGAAGACCAGCATGCTGAAGG